CGCCCTCACAGCAAAGAATTTCTTTCTGGTATCTCATCTAAATCTCCCCTCTTCCAATTTAAAACTGTTACCCCTTGTCCTGTCGTTGCACTTCCTGATAAAGGGTCCCTCCCCAGCTCTCCTGGAGCTCCCTTCAGATATTGGAAGGCTGCTGTAATAGAATCCAGAAATCCCAATTATTAGCCCAGTGGCTCAACTGGAGGACTAGCTCTTTATCCCCCTGACATTTTCAAGTGGGTAAATGCATCAGCCTGGTAAGTGCCCATAGGAAAGAGCGAGCAGATGCAGTGGGTTATACACCACACTGTGCTTTGCTTCCTTCTGATGGGTATGAAATCCACCTTTGCTCTTGCAGACCCCATCACACCTTGCACTCCATTCTCCCCAGCCTTGAGCTTGGTTTGGCCAGCACAGCCCAAAGACCTCCACCGTGCGTAAAGGAGTGGAGCCATGGTGTCAGTTCCAGCACCAGTAAATGGGGCCACCTTTTGCTAGAGCCAAAACCCCCACAGCTGCCCTGCCATCTGCCCAGCAGCCTCTTGCTGCTGTTGTCCAGCTGCTGAGTGCAGCACTTGGAGGCACCCACTGACCCCCTCAAGGTGGTCTTTGTGTGGTCTTGCTTGCCTGCAAGTGCTGCTGGAAACCAAAGTCCACATGCCACATGCCCTTCTCCGGGGGCAAAGCCACCCAGACACGTTACAGCCACCCATCTACAAGAGTGATACCTAAGGCAGATTTAATGTTGTTTATAAGCGGTTAAACTGTAGAGAATGTTCTTTTAGAGAAGAAATGTAGCTATTTTAGCAACCATCTCAAATGGTTTCAAGGACTTAGTAAGATAAGAAAGGATGGATGTGGCCCTGAGAACATGGTGACCTAAGACAGGGTTGCAATAAATATGGACGTTGTCTGACTAACAGGGGGTAGCAGACAGATCATTAGTTTTAATGAGCAATTAAGCAGTTAGACTGTTTTGCCAACATGAAAAGTGAGCCAAAGGACAGGTGAAGAAGATGAAGATTGAGGAAGAGATGACCCCCACTCAAAATGAGGACCACCAGAAGGCACAACTACACATGCCCAAAAGCTTATTATATTATGTAAATGTATGTAAAATGTAAATATGTACATTCTTGGAAATATAACAAATATGCCACTGTTTTCTTGGAATTACACTGTCTATGTATACCTGTTGTGTATAAATTTAATTTGACAATGGCATTCAGTGCGCACAACAGGAGGAGTCATCCCCTGTGCCCCCGGCGCTGCGATAGGGAATGCCTGCTTTCTGAACTTTGAGTCTTAGAAAGTTTTATATGCTGTTTCGTGGTGACAAGAGCACACATTGTTTTTGAGCCCCCTGCCCCCTCATGCGAGATGTGAGCCTCGGGTGCGCGGTCCCCAGAGCCCCCTGCTTTCCTGCTGGCCTTGCCTTACCCAGGTTGTGGAGGCGGAGGGTGACGTACAGCGGCCGCAGCAGGGTGGCTGCCGCAGAGCCGTTGACACAGATGCTCAGATCCTGATATTCTGCCTGGCTCAGGTTTTGCAACCTGCAGCCGATGTTTATGCCCCGGTCCTGAATATAGTCATCGCACTGCACGGCGTGGTCCAGCCCCTCGTACCTAACAGAAAGCAGAAAGAGAAGAAAAAATACCAAAAACCCAGAACAATGGCAGGTATTACTTGGGTAAGGCCTTTTTTTTTAAGATTGGGCCTAAGTCTGGAGCATCATCTGTAATGTTCCCACCCTTTGCCTTTTGCAAGTGGTCCAAAGCCCAGTGTTATGCATTGGTCACCTGGACTTCTTGCTATGGGAAGAGTGTGGGGAGGAGAAAAAAACCCAGCGTTATGTATTGGTCACCTGGACCTCTTGCTGTGGGAAGAGTGTGGGGAGGAGAAAAAACTAAATTAACACAGAAAGGTGGCTTCCCAGGCTGGTGTGTGGGCTGTGACTGCCTCTGCCCAAGCCTGTTCCCAGAGCACAAGAGACCTAACAAGGTGCCAACTGTGTGAGGGGAGCCTGGGCAGGATCTGGCCCCGACTCACGGAGATGCCCATCCTTCCTTGGGCCGCTTATGGCACCATCAGCCACCACCTCTGGAACTGTAGAAAGGTCCCTTCCCAAACCAAAATGAAGGGGTTTGTGGCAGGTGACATGTGCCATGAATGTAATGAGCTCCTCACTACAGGAAGAGGCCCCGACTCACGGAGATGCCCATCCTTCCTTGGGCCGCTTATGGCACCATCAGCCACCACCTCTGGAACTGTAGAAAGGTCCCTTCCCAAACCAAAATGAAGGGGTTTGTGGCAGGTGACATGTGCCATGAATGTAATGAGCTCCTCACTACAGGAAGAACATGGAGCTGCTGGAGCGTGTCCAGAGGAGAACCATCAAGCTGGTGAGGGCTCTAGAGAGAAAGTCATACGAGGAGAGGCTAGGGAACTGGGCATGGTTAGTTTGGAGAAGAGGAGGCTGAGGGGAGACCTCCTTGCCCTCTACAGCTCCCTGAAAGGAGGGTGGAGAGAGGAGGGGGTTGGCCTCTTCTCCCAGGGGAATCATGACAGGAGCAGAGGAAATGGTCTGAAGTTGGGGCAGGGGAGGGTTAGATTAGATCTTGGGGAGAATGACTTTGCTGAGAGGGTGGTCAGGCCCTGGAACAGCCTGCCCAGGGAGGTGGTGGAGTCCCCATCCCTGGAGGGATTTAAGAAATGTGTAGACATGGCACTGCAGGGCCTGCTCTAGAGCCCGAGGTTGTTGGGTTTTGTCTGTCGGTGGGTGGGTGTGGTTTATTGTGGGTTTTTTTGCAGTTGGACTCAATGATCTCAAAGGTCCCTTCTAACTGTGAATATTCTGTGATTCTGTGATGAGTCTTAATGAGCTGCTACTGTCATTGCAGGTAAGCCCCATGCATCTACGTGGGCATGTAATGGAAACCCAGGGGTGGGAGGGAGGAAGGAGTTTGTTGATTATTAGCTGACGTGCAACCACAAGCCTGTCCTCTTGTACTGCCTCCCGTTTTTGGGGGCCACTCCCCAAAACTTAGCGGCTGAATATTTCCCATTCCGGAAATACTGAGTGGTGTTTCATATCGCCTTTTAAGGCTCCTGCTGGATCCCTGCCTCTATACTCTACACCTAATGACAGTCTCCCTGCACAGAACATTATGTTTTTGAGAAAACTTCATGAGGTAGTGCTATAAAAATTAACTCCCAGGGATTAAAGGATACCGTGGCTGCGTTCCCACCCACTCTCGTCATACAGTGGGACCCAGATCCAAACACCTGGTTTTGTTACAGGCAGTTAAATAAGAGTGGGTTTGTTGTTTGTTTTGGTATTTGTGTTGTTTTGGGGTTTTTTTGGTGGATTTTTTTTTTTTGGAACAAATCATGAGTTTCCATGGTTTCTTTCAAGCAGAACTTTGCAGTTAGCCATGTGGTTTTAAATCAGTGTTTCTGCTTTGAAGACTATTTCCAAGAGCTACGTGGAAACTATTTTTAAAAAGCGGCTATGGTTTTCTACACGTAGCCCAAAGGCATGAAACCCAACGATTTCCAACTAGTCAGTTGCAGAGGAATTGAAGCACAAATACAACATTGCTTTTGTCCAAAAACACTAAGTCTCGCTTTGTTTTTTCTTGTGGAACAGAATGATTAGGCAACAGTAGAAAAGAATCAGCTGGGAAACACGCATTATTACTACCTTTTGGCAGCATGGTTCCTTGTATGAGATATGCTAAGGCTAGGAAAATAGATTTGAAGATTAGAACTGTTAGTTGCCAAGAAGCCCTGCTCTTTGTATAGGGTTCACTGAGCTTGGTAACCCCCTGCCAAATCCTATCCCATAGAGATATATGCTTTGTGATCAAGGGAAATGTGCAGCCAGAGTAATCTAGGTGTGATCACCAAAGGGAAAGCACAAGGCTTTGTGATGGCCACCACACAGGAGCACGCCATGGGGGTGGGAAAGGGAGAGGAGGAAGGGAGAAGGCAATCCCTGTAGAAGGTCATCACAAACCTGATTTTAAGGAAGAAAGCGGGAATTTGGTATTTCCAAGGCACATATTGCTTGGAGTGTTATTTCTGCTCATTCTGGGTGGATCGTGTACCAGCATAGCCAGCCATAAAAGCATATTTTCTGCAGCATTTTAGTACCCTGAGAGGTTTGCTTGGTTGCTGGCTGGCTCTTTTTCTGTTTTGCTGATACATACCAATAATATAGTCCATAATGTACGCCCCGAGGAGCGAGGAGACCTGGTTGCCAAGTGCACTTGAGGTATTCCCAGTCATGATAGATGCAGTGGAAATTCTGAACCTCTGATTCCAGTTTTCCTGTCAAATGAGAAGGAAATAACCTCCATTTAGCAACACTGCAATCAGGCCCAGCAGAAATATTATTTCATGTCTTTGAACAATTGTGTGCTGCGGCGGAAAGACAAAAAAAAGGAAAAGGCCAGTCATCATTATTAGATGGTTTTGCTGCCAAGTGCTGTTTCTTGTACGAGCCAGTCCACTGTCTTTAGAGCAGAAAGATGCACAACTGACCTTTTCATTCAGCAGCGAAGCTCATGCTGGGCAACCCCGCGGAGCTGGGGTAGGGGCAGAGGGAATGAGCCCCACGTATCCAATGACCACAGGCAGTGGAAGCAGAGATGCTCTGCTGCCTTACACCTCAGCAAGCCCTGCAATGGCTCATCCATCCAGCAACCCTCAGGCCAGCCAGTGGTTCATGCAACAGGCTCATGCAAAGTGCGAAACCGCAGCGGGGAGGGAAGGGCTGCTCCTAACCTGGCAATGGGACCTGAAAGGTAGCATAAATCCAGTCACTTTGCACCTCCACGTCATCGGTACATGTTCCTTCGAGCAGCGTCTGGACCCTCACTTCAGCAGTCCTGCTGAGGTCAAATCCAACTCTGAATTTTAGCTTCCTAGTAAAAATAACCTGGTTGAAAGACAGACTTTATAAGCACCTCTTTTGTCGCTAAGTGGGCTGCAGAATTAGCTACCATCACTCCTGCTCTAGCTGCCAGCAGGCTCATTGGTGTGCTGTAATGCTTCTTTACGTTGCTGTCCTGCCCAGTGCTTCTCCAGCGCTCCTGTCCCACCTGCTCTGCCCAGTCTCCCTGTCCCTCCACCCCACAGCACACCAGCAACCACAAGACAGATTCAAGGGATCCCCACCAGCCGGTAGCATCAGGGAGTCTATAACAAAGATGCTGCCATAAAGCCAGAGAAAAGGCACTGTTCCTGACACGATTATCTCAGGAACAGGAGGAACAGTGAGTCTTCTTGGTGGCTCCCATGGGAAGCACAACCCCAGCGAGTGGCAGCCAGGCAGCAGCGAGGGCTCACCACCGCATGCGATTGCCCTTTTCCCTTTGCAGGACTTTTTGAACACCCTCCTCTGAAGGCTTTCTATTTTATTTTTGTTCCTCAGACTTACTCCCCCTTACTTTACGCGAGGGTTGGCAAGAGTTAAGACAAATGATGAGAGAGAGAAGGTGTTGCTTTAGCCCAACCAGGACAGAATTATCCGTGCAGCGGGAACTGCAACGGCACAGCCCGCAGTCGGGCTCTTTGTCAGCAGCCCCAGAGGGGAAGAGCCGTGTTGAGCTCATAGAATCATAGAATCATTTTGGTTGGAAAAACCTTTAAGATCATTAAGTCCAACCGTCAACCCAGTGCTGCCAAGTTACAACTACCCCATGTCCCTCAGCACCACGTCTGCCCCCACCTCTGGGGATGGCGAATCCACCACTTCCCTGGGCAGCCTGTTCCAGTGATGTTCCGTCTGTTTCTAATAGACATTGATGACTTCCTTCTGCTAATGTCCATGAATTCTTTTCAGACTGTCTCTTCTGCATGACCTTATCTGAAGTCATGGTTTTGGCAAGGTACTAGAGGAGGTTTTTTTTCCTACTTTTTGGATCTGCCTTGTATAAGACACTTATATTACTTGTGATTTAGGGAATTCTGATGTGTTTTTTAAAACCACTTTTCTTTTTTTTTTTCCCCTTTGTGCTTTTGAAATGCTTCTTAAAATGATCACAGAAGAATCACATGCTGTTGTGATGGCTGGGAGTGTGACGTGCATCGTGACCAATGGCAGCTCAAAGAGCCCCTTTCCACGCCTTTGCCATTGCAATGGTAGCTGAGATGGGGTGGGAGCCACTGGGCTCTTCCACCTCTGCGGGCTTCAAAGAATCACAGGATCACATGAGGTTGGAAGGGACCTCTGGAGATCATCTAGTCCTACACCCCCTGCCAAAGCAGGTCCACCCAGAGCAGGTTGCACAGCAACGTGTCCAGGTGGGGTTTGAATGTCTCCAGAGAAGGAGACTCCACCACCTCCCTGGGCAGCCTCTTCCAGGGCTCTGCCACCCTGACAGGAAAGAAGTTCCTCATCATGTTGAGGTGGAACTTCTTATGTTCAAGTGTGTGCCCATTTCCTCTTGTCCCATCCCTGGGCACCACTAAAAAAAGACTGGCCCCACCCTCCTGACACCCACCCTTGAAGTATCTATAAGCATTGATCAGATCCCCCCTCATCCTTCTCTTCTCGTAAGGGAGCTGCTCCAGGCCCCTCATCATCTCTGTAGCTTCTGCTGTACCCTCTCCAGCAGTTCCCTGTCCTTCTTGACCTGGGGAGCCCAGAACTGGTCCCAGTGCTCCAGATGGGGCCTCACCAGGGCAGAGCAGAGAGCCATGGCTGAGCTAAACCCTGTCGGCATGGTGGCTGAGCCTGGCAGCCTGGGTTTCGATGGATGACCAGCTCATGCAGGACATGCAGAAACTGTTCAGAGCAGGAGGCTGGGCTCCACAGCACCGCTAACCCGCCATGACTGCTCCTTCTCTCTCTCTCCCTGGTCTCTTGAGCTGGCAAGCTCTCTAGCACTCCTGCTTTAGGGCTGTGAAAGAAAAATCTCTCTTTTGACACTACTTTGGGTTGTTGGGGGACATCCTTAGGGTATTTTTCATGTGTTCCTCTGTACCTTGCAGCAACCAAACAGCCTACTGCTGGGTTTCTCCTCTCCCCATGACATTTACCTTTCTAACCTGCAGCAGCTTTCATCTTCTAAGCAGTTCCATAAAAGATTCCTACAAACCTTCCTGTACTGTGCTGTCTGCCGTTTCCCTGCTACACATCAAGGAGAGAAGACTGACAATTTTATCATAGAACTGAGATAGAGTCAACCACATATAAAAGACAAAAGTAAATGGTAATTGGAAACACCCTTCTGGACAAAGGTAATGTTAGAGCATTAAGATAATTAAAGAAATGTCATCTTTTATTTATTCACCACTTTCCATTCTGTTAATTTTGAGTTCAAGCACCGTAAAAGCTTTCTGAGAAGTGCAATGAGAAATGCTACCAGATATTATTGGATTATTTTTGGCAGCAAAAACCACACGCTCCGACCGAAATAGCCCCTTCTCTGACCGCTGTTGCTGTTACATTTCGAAACACATTCCCATCTGGCAAAAGACTCCTACAACTGGAACAATCTGGCTTTTTCAGGGAAAGCTGGAACCGCTGTGGTATTGCTCCTCCTTGAAATGCAAACATAAACCCCTGCAGAAACTAAAGGCAGAAAAATAACCTGGATTTAAGAGGGTTACATGTGCTTTGTCTTACCTTCCAGTCTCCATCACCAGCGCTGCGGTATTCGAACTTGTATTTCACTGTGCATTCATTGAAGGTGTGTACGTCGGGTGGAGGTTTCCACTCGATATCGAGAACACCTAAGAGTCCAGGATCCGTGATCTGGAGGTCTTGTGGGGGAGCAACTAAATTGAAAAAGCCGGGGGGGAAAGCAGAGCCACCTAAGAGTCCAGGATCCGTGATCTGGAGGTCTTGTGGGGGAGCAACTAAATTGAAAATAAAGCCGGGGGGGAAAGCAGAGTGTGGATGTAAAGAAAACGAACACACAAAAAAGTCGTGAAATTTGATGAGGTGGCAGCTACTGGACGTGGAGGGAAGAGCTGCTGGTCCAGGTCCAGCCCTGGCTCTTTAATAGCCTGGTCTCAACAGGCACACACAAGCTCTACTCTTGCCCTCCCCTCAAAAACCAGGCTTTTGCTGATGCTCAGAGAAAACCCTGAAGGAAAAGCCACAAAGAATGCCACAGCTTTGACACTCCTTTTCAAGATGTTTTAAGCAAAACTGCTGTCCTGGGATGACCTTTCAAGACTCATATTTGCTTACTTTTAACTCATGATATTTACTGACTGTCAGGACATGTCTCCTTGCAAACATTATTTTCAGCACCTCCACCAACATAGGGTGACAGACCACAGCATGCTGTCAGGGAAATTTATGTTCCTTAACTATAATGAACACAAATCACCTGTATTGTTTTAAATAATACTTTCAAGTATATCATAGATTAATGAAAAAACAAGACAAAAAACATATCGAAGCAGAAAAGCAGAGAGTTAAAAACATTCTTATTTTGGACATTATGAGCAATACAAAAATGTGCTTTTGCATTCCATCCGGCTTTTATTAAGCTATTGTAAGGTGCTGATATATGTTAATATTATATGCTAATATATCAGCACATATTATGGATGAGTTCTGTAATAAGACATGCTTCCTAAAAGCCCAGCTCTGTATGCAGCTGTCAGTCACACTACAAAAACTGTTTGGCTATTCAGTTTTATTAGTTCAAAGTCAGTCAATTTTTGTAACATCTGAGGTCATTGTTCTCCACTGTCTAGAGGTGAGGTTATCCATTTGGGTCTCTACATATTCACTGCATGATACACTTTTTTCATGGTGATTTGGAGCCCATCTCCTGGCGGTGTCAGCCCAGCATCGCCACCACTTCCCTGATTGAGTCTGGCCTCCTGGTCACTGGCTTCTCCGCCACCTTTTTCATATCTTCATCAGGATTTACACCTTTTTTTCCTTTTATTTTTTTAATAAATCCATCGCGAAAGCAGACCCTGAGAATATCTTTCAGTGGAAGACTGATATAAATCAAACTTCAATGTGCTCCTTGGAGAGGTCACAAAGAATGTCGGTGGAGGGTTTGCTTCTTCTAAGGAAACTCTCCCAAATGAAACACACTGCAGGCAGCAGTCTTAAGAGCCCACTTTTCCCATTGTGTAAAGCTCCACGGGAGAATTGTTGTTACATTAGATGGCAAAGTAGGATATCATGGCAATGTAGTTAGGGAGGTGCTGGCCAAGGCACAATAGTCTATAATAATTTGGGGAAAAAATAGATTTTATGTATTTTTCTATGCAATAAATAAAGCAGCTCTGAGTCCTAGGAATGCAGCCTGAGTTCAGAGGAGGGGGGTGAGTTTGCTCCAGCTCCAGGGGGGAAATGGGGTATGGCCCTGCCCGAGCAGTGTTCAGTATTCTTCAGCCCCCTCCTGCAGGAGGTGAGGGACTGATACCACTGTGCTTCCAGAGGCATGGAATTCCCAGCCTGGGAAGAGGAGGGGGAACAGGGCACGAGCAGCTCTGGCTGCGCAAGGAGTGCTCAAGCTGAGCTCTTGGTGATCATCTTATGAAGACAAGCTGAGAGAGTTGGGGTTTTTCAGCCTGGAGAAGAGAAGGCTCCGGGGAGACCTTGCAGCCCCTTCCAGTCCCTAGAGGGGCTCCAGGAAAGCTGGGAAGCAATAGGATGATAAGTAATGGTTTTAAACTGAAAGAGGGGAGATCTAGATGAGATGAGGAAGAAGTTTTTCACTATGAGAGTGGTGAGACATTGGCCTAGGTTGCCCAGAGAAGCTGTGGCTGCCCCATCCCTGGAGGGGTTCAAGGCCAGGCTGGATGGGGCTTGGAGCAACCTGGTCTGGTGGGAGGTGTCCCTGCCCAGGGCATAGGGGTTGGAACTCAATGATTTTTAAGGCTCCTTCCAACCCAGACCATTTTGTGATTCTGTGATTCTATGATCAGAGGTGGGAGCAGAGGGGGAGATGAGGGCATCTCACCCACCTCCTGGATCTTCACAAACATGCAAGGGCTCTGGGGAAGGGAGAAGCAAAGCAGGGGGACAGCAAGTCTGTGAGAACAGTGTTCCAAGAGCTGCAGCTGCTAAAAAAATGAATGAGTGGCTCAGCCAGAATGGCCATTTATAGCTGTGTGGAGGAGGGAGGGAAAGGCGAGGGGGTGTTCCTGTTGCTGGGCCAGCACCAGGGAGGGCTTCCACACCATCAGCCCACCAAATCCTGGGGTCGAACCCTGCTGTGGTGGCTGGTGTGTGTGGCTCCTGCAGCAGGAGGAGATCTGCTGGCAGGAGATCCACTCCCCCATGCCCAGGAATCTCCTCCTGAGGGGATAAATGCCGAGCCTCGCAGCCAAGAGAACGAGGAAGAGAGAGCTGCTAGGGTTTGTCTTGGGCCCGGTGATAAACTGTCAAAAGAGGATTAGATTGGTCAAAAACAGAATGTCTGACTGGGAATGATAGTGCTCTGAAATGTGTTTCTATCCTGAGCTTGAACAAAGCAATAATATTTTTTTCAAAACCATTGCAACTGTAAACAGCAATTCTTGCAAAATAAATTTTGACTGGATTTCAGAGGGGATGGAAAAGCCTCTTTTTGGGCTATGGTGAGCAATCTGGGATTTGACTGTTTTTTAAATGTCAGCAGTGCCTCTTGTATTTTCTCATTTTCGCAGTATCACATGACAAGCCATTCTCCCTTACATCGTTCACACAGAACGCAGGACCATAAATACTCTATTTCATTATCTGCTCTTGAAGGACAGATGCCCCTGAATGTTTCTTGAGAAAAAAAAAAACAAAACCAACAGCTCCTCTGCCTGATCTGCGTGGCAGCGAGTTGGGTGCGATGTGCCAGTGAGCTGGATGCAGATTTGCTGGTGCCCGGCTCCCAGTGCCCTGCTCCCTGGCTCCACCACCGCAGCATCACTGGTGACCCTCCTGCTCATCCCCATTGCCTCCCACAGCTGCACTGGGATGGAGGTGCGACCAGCAGGTCAAGGGAGGTCATTCTCCCCTCTGCTCTGCACTGGGGAGGCCACAACTGGAATCCTGCCTCCAGTGCTGGGCTCCCCAGTTCAAGAGAGACAGGGAACTGCTGGAGAGAGTCCAGCGTAGGGCAACAGAGATGATGGAGGGATTGGAGCATCTCCCTGATGAGGAAAGGCTGAGAGAGCTGGGGCTCTTGAGCCTGGAGAAGAGAAGGCTGAGGGGAGACCTTATCAATGCTGACAAGTGTCCAAAGGGTGGGTTGGAGGAGGATGGAGCCGGACTCTTTCCAGTGGTTCCCAGTGAGAGGACGAGGGGCAACGGGCACAAGCTGGACCATGGGAAGTTCCACTGGGATGTGAGGAAGAACTTGTTTGGGGTGAGGGTGGCAGAGCCCTGGCAGAGGCTGCCCAGGGAGGGTGTGGAGTCCCCTTCTCTGGAGATCTTCAAGCCCCACCTGGATGCTCCTGAGTGATGTGCTCTGGGCAGGGGAGTTGGACTGGAGGATCTCTAGAAGGTCCCTTCCAACTCCAACAATTCCATGATTCCGAGATGATGCAAGTAGCAGCAGGTTTTGCAATTTCCTGCCTATTTGACCAGTGGAAAAAAGGCAGTCTGCCAGGTGCTCCCGATGTCTTCTGCGTCCGCGGGTCTCCACGCCGGTCAGAGAGGTGCAGGCGGCTCCCGTTTTTTGGGAATCCTCTTCCAAGGGCAATGCTCCTTTGCCCAGCGTGGCAGCCGCCTCTGACTGCCAGGACAGGGAGGTCTCGGTGGCCACTTTGTCACCTCTCCACTGTCCCCCGGCTGCAGCGGGGAGGCCAGACCTGGTTGCCGTCCCGCTGAAGAAGGAGAGGAGGTTTTGGGTGCAAAGTCCCAGCTACTGGAGGCCGAAAGAGCTGGGGTGCAGGAAAGAGGTGCTCCAGGGGTTGAAGCAAAGGGTGCCATTCCTATGGATGATCGCTTGCAGAGCAGTATTTTTTTTTTTAGGAAAAAACTATTATTGACCAAGTATGAATAAGCCTTGTGTTTCTTACACCTCATACAGTCCACCTGGCTGGGACCACGCTCAGGAGCATTTATATATCCAAATGGTGTTTATATTTGATAACTCCATATCAAACATAATATTCACTGTGCACCAAAGGCAATTTCTGCTCCTTTTGAAAATATTCAGAAAAATAGCCATGAACACATGATACATTTACATAATCGAGTACAGGTTTATAAACCAGCCCCTCGCTGTAACACACACACACACAAGAAAAGCGCTGGTTGGAGGATTAACTTCATAAAGGACCCGAGTTACATGTGAAGCAACACGAAGAGCACGCCGGGCTTTACCTGTGATGTGGGAGGAGGAGGAGGAGGAGGAAGAGAGCAGGCAGCCCCACAGCAGCGCGGTGGAGAGAGCCCAGAGCCACCCGAGAGCCATTCCGAGGTCGGGGAAGGTGCGTGGCCTCAGGGGAGCCGTCCTGCAGCACACGGGACAGGAGGCTGGGGAAATAAAAAGGGGAGTAGAAAGGCTTCAGCTCAACCAGGGCATTCCACCCACAGGGCCAGCACTGACAATAAGTGCTTTTTTTTGACTCATGTACCAAGTCTGATTAATCATTTCCCAGAGGACTCTAGTTGGTGACTTTTTGGGGGATTGGCAACACACGGATGACTTTGCCTTCGTTTGAAATAGTTTCTGGCTAGCTCAGCACGTTCTCACACGTCAGCCTGTGCTTCAGTCACCGAGCCGTCTGCCCCACGCCTTCTGTGGAAAGAGTGATGCAGCCGAATGACTGGCCCCCCTGCCGGAGGAAGCGTCTCGGACCAATGACATTTCCATTAAGAAAAAAAAAAAAAAAACAACACCAAACCAAAACAGAATGCCTGAGCCCTGCCTTGTTCAGTAGACAGACTCTCATGCAACTGTCACCAGCGCTTTTGGCTTTCCTGTTTCAGGATTTGGTGACTAACGAGAAAAGAAAAAAAAAATAAAATTGCAGAGAGAGAATTTCCTTTCTAATTCACCTCCAGCAAAAAAGAAATGGGAGGATGGTAGGAATACTTGTGAGAAATCTTCTTAGTTGTCATGATTGTTTTTGAAGGGGACAAATTTCTCTTCCTGAGCAGGTCTGCTGAAGGGAAGATGGGGACTGAGAACAAGAGAGGAGCAGAGTTTCCAGGGGGGAGCTTCTCCTTCCTTCAGATTTCATACTGAAGGTGAGTAGGAATTGCTGCCTACAGACACACCAGCCCAGCCTGCATCCCTATGCCTGAAATCACCTGGGTTACAGGTAAAAAGAATACGTAAATGTATTTTTTTCTTTAACTTTTACATAGAGATACAGGCATAGGTATAGATTAGATAGAGATTGGGGGGCGGCGTGTGAGAGAGATCACAGAGATTGGGGGGAGAGAGATATATCACATAGATTAGATATAGATATCAATCTTTCTGAAAGCTTGAGGCCACTGCTTGTGTAAGAGCATGGTGACATCTTCGTGACCACGCAGTGCGTCACTGGGCACCTTTCAGATGGCAAACTCAGTTTACACTGGCCAGGCAGCCTCGGCTAGAAAAGGTGGAATCCCAGGTCATGCTCTGCTTACTCCTCAGCACCTACGGTGTGCCAAAACTGGGGGGGGATCTGCTGAAAGGCAGAGCTTCACGTCAGAGGGACCTTGGGATACGTGAGGGTTGGGGCCAACAAAAGCCCCACCATTTGAAGAAGTGGCTCAAGGGAGTCAGAGGAGACAGGTTGCAATGGGGAGTGGAGGTCATTTAAATCTATCAGAAATTCTAACTAGCAACACATGGCAGTAATTGAAAATAAACAACCATTTTAACAGCTAATCTTCAATTTGAATTAATATTAAATCCACACACACACAATCCATCACATAAGTATAAGCAATACTGATAGTTTTCTGTTTCAGTGTGAAATGAGAATGTCTGGAGAAGTTCCAGTGAGAAGAAGTGACTGGAATCACTTCTTAACGTATCGAACACGGCATAAAACTGGTGTCAGCTCCAACCTGGCTGTACGCTGTAAGGCTCTGCCTGAGGAAGCCTCATAATTGAGCAGAAGGGTGCGATGATCAGGAGATCCCCCTCGCACAGCTGGGAACAGCAGCAGCTCTAACTCACAGCTGGTCAGAAACAGCGTCCAAGGGCTGTGCATGAGCTGTGCGTGAGGAACCTTTTCCCATTTCCAGTACAGTTAGTTTTAACGCATCCGCATGGTTTCACAAGGCAAGTAAAAATAAACAGAGACTTACATGGAAAGATTTAAAACCAGTGAATTAATTCTCTTACCTCTAAGTGCACGGGAGCCCGTCTGCCTCTGGAGTGCCGAGCTCTCCAGCAGCCTCGGGGCTGCTCTGCTCAAAACTCTGCACTTTGTAGAAATTTGGAGGTTTTTAAAGAGGCCAGTCTGTTCTCTTCAGGGGTCAGATGCCACATTGCAACCTTATGGCACTTGCCACATGATCGGAGGCTTTTATAAGCTAGTGCCGTTGGCCAGGATTTGTGAGGTGTTGGTGTTAATTGCTGTTCTAATTTTGCTCAAGCAGGTCAAAGGCATGTTTGAAATGTTTAAATGACTCACTGGAATGAAAACCAAATGGCATAATCCCTGCAGGCTGTCTGGTGGAGGCTGCCCCAGCCCCTCGCGGTGGTGGGACACAGCTGCCCCCAGCACCCCGTGCCACTGAGGCTGGTGGTCCCCAGGGCCACCCACTGCAGCCTCCCCCGCTGCCGCTGGCTCCGGAGCCCACCCAGCCACTCCTGCCTCCCAGGGCTCTGCAGGGAGTATGGAAAATCATCCCTCCTCTGGGCTCGGCACGTCCGCCAGCTGGGCAACATGACCCTTGTCTAAGCCTTGCGTCACCATTTACTTCATCCCTCCTTCCCTGCATCACCCTGTGGAGACCCCCAGCCTGTGGGAGGAGTAGGGGCTTCAGCCACACCTGGTTTGCCCCAGGTGAGAGCACTGGTACCCAGTACATCTTGCTGGGAAAACATCTCCTGACTCCTGTTGCTGTGCTGAAGGGTCAGGCGGGGCCATGGCACGGGTGGGTCATCTCCAGGTTGCCTTGTGTGAGTCAAGGGAAGTTGGTTGCAGCAACTCCCCTCCAGAAGGGGATGTTTCGGAAAGAGTGGAGCTGTGGTGTACGTGCCCCTACAAGCATTGGGCTGTGACTGGGGCTGGCTCTTCCCATGGCCACAGAATCACAGAATCACATGGGGTTGGAAGGGACCTCTGGAGATCACCCAGTCCAACCCCCTGCCAGAGCAGGTCCACCCAGAGCAGGTTGCACAGGAACATGTCCAGGTGGGTTTGAATGTCTCCAGAGAAGGAGACTCCACCACCTCCCTGGATGCTCAGGGTCTGGAGCATCAATCTTATGAAGAGTGGTTGAAGGAGCTGGGACTGTTTATTTTGAGGAAGAGGAGGATGAGAGGAGACCTCATCACTCTCTACAACTACTTGAAAGGACACTGTAGAGAGGTTGGTGCTGGTCTCTTCTTGCAGGTAATTTGTGACAGAACGAGAGGGAACGGCTTCAAGCTCCAACAGGGTAAGTTTAGACTGAACACTAGGAAAGAATTTTTCACAGAAAGAGTGGTCAGACACCGGAATAGGCTGCCCAGGGAGGTAGTTTAGTCACCATCCCTGGATGTGTTTAAGAGTCATTTAGATGTGGTGTTGGGGGACATGGTGTAGGGAAGAACTTCGTAGAGTAGGGTTGATGGTTAGAATTGATGATCGCAAGGGTCTTTTCCAACCTAGATGATTCTATGATTCTATGATTCCCTGGGCAGCCTATATTTAGGCATACTGAGGAGCTGCTCAGAGATACGAAGAACATGAGAAACAGCATCAGAAATGGAAGGAGCTCTTCTCATTAGGAAGAAAACTGCCCTCCAAGCACCTATACAAGACTTACGGTGTCACTGTTTGAATTGATGTCTGAATGAAGGTGGTATTGCTTCCCAGCTGGAGTCAATGGGAACATTGTGGAGCAGCAAAGGCCGGATCAGGCCCCTTTCTCTCTGCCGGTTATCCCTCCATTTCCCTGGGCGCACACGGATAGACCTGGGTTGAGCTGGGGGAGGCACCACCACTTGTCAGGTGCGACACCATCCCCGTCACATCATTGATACTTGGTTCTGGCTCCAATCAGATCCTGTGAAGGTGGGTGCCAATGGAAAGACCATGACCATCCTTCACTCTTTTGAACTGTGTGAACTTTCAAGGCAGTTGCAAACAAAATTTCAGAACCTTTTTTACCTTTCACTATGCCAAAGATAAAAAGTGTTCCCCTGGTTATAGCAACTACCTCCTGGAACAGACACCAGCTGCTGGGTGCTGGGTGAGACCACAGCTTTGAAAGAAGAGGTGAGAGTGAGGAAGAGCACTCAGACTATGAAGACCAGTTAGTCTTGATGGGTGCCAAGGAGAGCTTTGAAGTGGGGAACCAGGAGGCCCATGGCCCAACACTGTCCCTATCTGAGGAGGCATTTGGTTGCGAAACAGCCACAGAAGGTCCTGGGGGGTTTACCCGTGGTTGGAAACCACTGACCAGGTGAACAGCCCCTTGCCTTTCATCTTTCCAAAGCAAAAAGCAGCAGAATTGAGTAATACAAACCCTGTTACCTGGAGCACCTTGTGAATTCTGGGGATGAGAGGCTTATGGGTGAGTTCTCCCTGTGCTGCAATTGCACAGTGCTGGCTGTTTCCTCCTTACTTTCTGCAAAGGATGGGGAAAAAAAGTCCCTTGGTGCTGGTAAATGTATGGTCCTGCTTTCAGAGTTATGCAAGATTAGGATTTGACATTCATGTATTTTCATTGTGTAAGCTACTTAAGCAGAAAAGGTCACACTGGACGCATCATTGGAAACAGATGAGAAACATTTGCCAGTAGGACCCATGCCAGTTCCCGAGTGCTAGAACTGGGTCATTTCTTGAGAAAATTAGGCTGGAAAAAAAAAGTGCACATTTGGGATTTACAACAACCAGGCTCCAGGAAGCCGCCGGCAGCGCTGGAGTCTCCAAAGTGGGGGACCAGCCCCCACCTCCTGCCCTCCTGCCTGGGCTGGGAGAGCCAGGGATGCTCTGGGCACTCCATGGTTCACACCGTGGCTTGTACTGACCTTGTCTGCCCTCAAAAGATGTGGGGAACACAGGGCAAACCCCGTGTGGACCGGAGCCTCGCCGTCCTGAGCTGGGGAGGGACAGGCAGGCGATTCGCAGCTGGCTAACTATCCTACAAATTAAGTGCTTTTTTTTGACTCATGTACCAAGTCTGATTAATCATTTCCCAGAGGACTCTAGTTGGTGACTTTTTGGGGGATTGGCAACACACGGATGACTTTGCCTTCGTTTGAAATAGTTTCTGGCTAGCTCAGCACGTTCTCACACGTCAGCCTGTGCTTCAGTCACCGAGCCGTCTGCCCCACGCCTTCTGTGGAAAGAGTGATGCAGCCGAATGACTGGCCCCCCTGCCGGAGGAAGCGTCTCGGACCAATGACATTTCCATTAAGAAAAAAAAAAAA